TATACTGGTCCAGAGGGAGATTCCCGATGAGCCAGTCCGTCCCTGTTTGAAGGCCGCAGGAAAGACCGTCCACCGGCGATCCGACTTCGCAAAGGCCCTTTGAAATAATGACCCTGTGTGACTTACGGCGGGGGGCACGCAAGACCTGCCTCAGGGGGGGCGTATTCATTTTCAATCACCACTGGATACTGACTGGATCTGTTTTAATTTTTCATGAAGAAATATATTGTTTTATAACACTTTGTTAACTAATCATTCGATAGTTGGTATTGGAGACAGATAGAGATAGATAGATAATATTTATTTGTTCTCTGAAATCAAAGCCTAGAAATAGGCGTAGAACTTGTCAATACATAATACATGGTACATTAAAAATACCAAAAGACTATAAAAAAAATGATAGTACAAATACAATACAGAAATATTATAAGTGTATGTAGGACATCAATTCACAAATATAAAAATAACACATAAATGATAACACATAAATGATATATAGAAATATTTTAAACTGCAATCTATAGTTGCCAACTGTCAGAGAAATACTCTTCTATTATATGCTTTCGATATAAGAATATGTTTCAGTTTGAGTTTGAGTTTTTTTGGGGGCAATGATATGAGCGATTTTGGAAGCTTATTATAAATTTGTATCACAGAAAATGGGATATTTTTTTGAACATATGTCAAGTTAGTTTTCATATTCAATAAGTGATATTTGTGTCTTGTATGATGCTCATGATGATCGCTATATTCTGCAAATAAGTCCATGTTTTCGGAAACCAACATTACTGACTCATATACAATGAGACATATCAGAGTCATTATTTTCTTTTCTATGAATAAAGGTTTACAGCTCTGAATCATTTTCTTATTAAATATTCTTTTTATGCATCTCTTTTGTAATATAAATATTTGAGATGCTGTACTACTAAAACCCCAAAATATTACTCCATACCTGATACGTGATTGTACATAAGCGTTATAGGACAGTAAAGCAACTTCTGGGGAAATATGTAGTGAAATAACTTTCAAGGCGTAACTATAACTAGATATACTTGACGATAATTTTTCAATATGACATTTCCAGTCAAGTCTTGTGTCAATTGTGAGGCCCAGAAAAGAAATCGACGAAACGGTATCGATGGCAGTCTCGTCTCTTCTGAAAGTTTTTTCAATGTTGGATTGATTTTGGTTGAAAGTTATGATTTGTGTTTTATCTTTATTGAGCTTAAGCCTATGTGCATCGAAGTAAATATCTAGGGAGTCTAGCATTGAAAAAATCGTCCTATGCATATTTACATGATCAATGGATGATAATATTATAGAGCAGTCATCTGCATATTGAACAATTTCTTCATTTGTTGCATTGCATATATCGTTCGTATAAAGTATATACAGTAATGGCCCAAGAATGGATCCTTGAGGTACACCCATTTTTATTATTTCATAATCAGATCGTATTAGCTGACCTTCTTTAACATACTCGGCAATGTATTGTCGTCTATCAGTTAGGTAGGAAGATATTAGCTGGAGAGGTTTTCCTCTGATCCCAAATGAATCTAATTTCTTCAATAAAATATTATGATCTACACTATCGAAAGCTTTAGACAAATCTAAGTTAACAGCCGTTGTATATTTTTTTGAATTAAGTGAGTCAATTACTTTACAAAGTGCATGATAATTGGCGCGGGTCGTCGATTTATTTTTCCTGAAACCATTTTGTGTATTGCTCAACAGTTGATTGTTTTCTATGAAATTTATGAGTCTGCTGTAAATTATTTTTTCCACAATTTTGCTAATATTTGATAAAACAGCAATTGGTCTGTAGTTATTTATCACACTATTATCTCCTTTTTTAAACAGCCAGGGGAGTCATTTCAATTTTCTCTAACGTGTATGGGTGCGGATATCATATAGTTATTGCAGTTATTGGGCACTACTTTTGAAGTGAAATGAGATAGGTATTATTAACAATTAATTATTGGTTGTTGATGCGCCGCGGATCTCAGGGAAATGTGGGCCGTGTCCCCGTGTCTAAGAAAAAAGAGCTTCGTTCGGAACAGATGTTTTATTAGTGCTTCGATGGAACTACAAAGACACAATTTTCCCAATGGGCTAGTGAACTCTCCAATCGACGAATTATACCTAGGTATAAGGTACTGAATATAAAATATTTTCATTAAATCGTTTCATCGAAGCCACTTACTCCACTGAATATGAGAAGATTTGTTGGACTATATATTCTATTGTCACAAATTATACCATACAAATATTCTATAATATCCATTCGAATGCCCCTTTCCTACTCAGATGCTTCTTCATCTCCAGGTTTTGTGTTCATTTCCCCACTTCATATTGAGAACTACACTGAAGAGTCTGAAATTATAAAAAAAAAACCAATGATACCTATGTAGAAGTCCATACCTTTACAATTAACCTGACCTTTAATCGGTGGCACAATAATTTTATTCAAAGTTTTTTCCATAATGTGTTTTTTTCCTCCCCACGTGAGTAAATTCTCTATTTCATACATTTTTCATGATTAACTTGTATCATATTATAGGACCTTTGGTTTGGAAGGATTAAGGCTGATGATGGACACATCCCTAATAGCACACAACGTCCTAGGGACGTCCCTATTTGGTACAATTCACCTCCGAATGTCCCGAAACAAAAAAAAGTTTCCTTGGGACGTCCCATCCCGTACATCTCATGCAATGTCCGAGCAAGGACGTCCACGGAATGTCCTAGCGGGTACATCATTTCAAATGTCCTAGAAATAGCATCCCGCAGACGTCACACGTGGTACATATTGTGGAATGTCCATGCAAGGACGTCCTTGGCATGTCCCTGATATGATTTTAAACGTTGCTTTAGGGGCATCCATCGGATGTCCCGAGTAGTACATATTCTGGCATGACTTCAGATATTATATAATGTCCCTTCTAGACAACCATGAAATGTACCATGACTGTCCGGAACATGTTCCCCTAAATAATCTTTCGATTATTAAACGTTGTGGAGATGATTTTTTGTTTTCTAACCCTCTCAATGATACCTATATTGTCCCCACTTTTAATGTCCTGTCCCATTCTGAAATGAATTTAATTACTTTTGACTAGGTATATATGGAACAGTTTTCATAGGAACGAAAGTCAACTTCTTGGTCATTCTTATGCTGAAACTAATAGTTTCATTAAAAATAATGAATAATAGCATCTGCTTGTAGATGACTGAATTCAAAATTTCCAGAAAATTAAAATTATGGATTTTCAAGGACCCATATTCTATTATTGAAAACAATTTCAAGTCTTCCTCCCTTGATGTTCTATGAGAGTATATTATTTACGAATATTATATATATGTCAATGAAATTTGAACGCTCATTTCCTAATTTCAAAACTTCTGATAAGGATGAAGAAGGTTGGTGAAAAAATTTGTATACCTACCTTTCTCTTATGCTCTGGTTCTCACGAAAAGGGATATCCTGTAATGTTCAGAGAACATCGTGAGAACCAAGGGAAATAAGGTAGGAATTGGTGTTCTTCTTGAATTTCTGGAGGTTATATGCCTTATAGTTAAATGTGATTTCATTTATATACCCACCTTGAACAAAGTTGAAACAGCAACCTTCTTCAAAAACCGTTTCCCATTCTTCATTGGCAAGAAACAGTTTCCTTGGAATATTGGGAACATATAGTATACCGTATCATGTGTTATTCGCTTACCCCATTCCTGAAATATCAATTCATTTAGTTTCGAATAGTATGTGATTCAAGAGACTATTTAACCTTGGTATGCAATGAATATTGCATAAACCCAATGATACCTCAGAATTTGAGGCTCAAATTCACATCACTGGGGATTGGGGAAACTGTATCTTGATGATTTCACACCTCCATCTTCTGGAGTGCAAAAATGCGTACAATTATCAGATAACATTGCAAAATAACACAATCGCACTCACAAACCAATCAACAAACTTCAATAGAACAACGAACACCATTTACTAGAAAAAATAATTAGGTATAAGTGTAATTTTTGAAGATTCGATTAGAAACACATCTGGATATCTCCTTGTCGGCGTCAAATAGTGAAAGTCATCATTTCCTGAAATGCCTAATTATTTCACTCTTTGCCGTAACAGTGTAACTTTCATGTTCAGCCGTTACTCTGTTTGCCGAATGATTGAGGAAGAAAAATATCATTTCTGCATAAGCATTACAAACGGACACTATTGTTCCTAAACAAAATCTAACCAAACTTGGCCAACATCAACCTTCTTCCTAGAAAGTTTATATTTCGGGAATTACGTGAGAGAACAAAAGAGACTACTGTTTCTAAACAACCTAGCCTGACTGAGCCTCATTGAACCTTCCTTTTGTAATTACAGGGAATGCCTGAAACTTTAGGCAAACGGTGTATGAAATTTACAGTTACGCTGTTTGCCGGCAATACGTGAAATGACTAGGCATTTCAGGGAATGACGGATTTCTCTGTGTGACGCCGACATCCACATCTGGACCAATTTTATACATGATAGTCCGGCGGGTAAGAGAATCCACCTTGCATTTCATGTTCAAAAGGTGACACGTGGCTTAAATTGTTCCTTAGACCCTATTCTTCGATATGAGAAATGTTGCCACGGTCCCACCCCCTGCAGACCCCATATTTAGGCATGTTTGCCTACCTTCAGGGGCAAAACGCCCTTTTCCTCATTTCTCGCGTAATAAACGTTGTAGATGTCTACTTTTTCCACACATTTGAAGTGTTTTGAGTGCCCAAGGCTGAAAAACGATTATAAAAGGACCACGGCCACACATTTCAAAATGGCGGCGTCCGAAATAGAAAAATTTGAACATTTTCAAAGAAACAAAAAAGAGGTAACATAGTATCGTGACGGGTGTCGTTTCATATGTTTTCGGGGCGTCTGATTACGAAAATAAAAGTTAAAATCCATCCTGAGAAGTCATTGACGGAGGGTGCATTATATTTAGAATTTATGGGGTACAGAGTTGGCAGGTACACTTGCACAGCCCGCAACATTTGAGACCGTTTTTCAGGCATTTGCAGCGGGCCGGTACGCACTCCTTTCGACAGGAACATTTAATTAGTGCCTCACAAGCTCCAGATGCAACAGGAATCGTGCGCCACACAGGTTCCCAACCCTCTTCACATTTTTTCCAGCCAAAGTCCGCTGGGTCAAGAAAGTTTTGTTCACGCTCCAGAGATTGTCTCCACACTTGACTCTGAATGAAAGCTCTCTTAGCGTGTTGCTCCAGAGCGTCTCTTGTTGGTGGAATGGATTCCAGCTGACGGTCGCTCTTTGTGAACAACACTCTCCGGCACTCGTTCACAGTCTTGCAAGACGCAGTCCTGGAATTAGAATACGTAAATTAATATTACTTTCGTATATTATACGTAATTTTTCTATATTTTACGTTCGAGGAGAGTCTTGTTAATTTACCTGGTGTAGGTTGAAACAACAAATACTTCTAAATTGCCCATAGCCTGAACAACTGTCTCGTCTTGAAGAGCTTTAAATCCATCTGTTGCTCCAGGATATTTCAGCCAAGCGTTTACGGCTGTGAGTTTTCCGATTCCTTCAAAATAGGACACTGTGTCGCAGCCGGTAAAAGCATGAAAACCCAGCAACGATTCTGACTTTTCAGGACCTAAGTACATAAATTGAAGAGAGAATTAATGAAAGTGGTTCGGTGACGACCAATCCCTGCAACAAAGACCTATCTGTGTAGGAATTGCCACACAGATAGGTCTTTGTTGCCCGGATTCGTCGAAAAGCAGTAATTATCTTTTTGTTCACCCACCTAGAACATTGGCAATTTCGTGCGCAGCCAGAAATTTGGAATGCTTGCCCATGCCAAAATGCACCCAACCGATAAGTAGCATCAACTAACTGTTTCTTTCTCGTTTCACCATACAGCTTAGCTGCAACGTATACGGGAACAGGATTTTCTCTATTTTTGTCGTGCCTCTGAATGAGTCCGTTTCTGGTCCGTTTCACAGCATGGAAAGAAATAAAATGAGCCAATGAAAGTACAATAGTGTCAACATCTTCTGAATCTGCTGAGTGTGAAGCTGTTCCATTCATTATCATTCTCAAGAGCGTAATTAGAGATTTTGGTACACAACACAGTTGATTTTCTTTAGACATATCAATGGACTCTTTTCCAGAAATTTCAAACATGTCTTGCCGTACTATATCAGCAGCCTGTGCTAAATTAGTTCCCACGGTGTCGAAAAAACGAATGTCTGCACGGATAGAAAAGTCAATGTCTTCTCGAAATGCAATGAGCACGTCTTTACCTTGAGTCCCAACATGTTCAAGCTCTGGACATTCTTCTAACAGACGTTCTCTCAGCCGAGTAGAATGAACATCTAAAGTTGGTTGATCCATCTCTGCTAATCGTTCTGAATACTCTCGAGCTAGGTGCGCCATTTTGAAAACGGGCATTTCATCACTGACTTCCTTTGCCGTTTTCATGTTGGCAATCAAGCCAGCAAGAGCAATACCGTGAGCTCGAGCACGATCCGAGCCTGAAAAAGGGATGAAAAGATGTGCCGTTTAAGTAAGTTCATGCACACATGCTTGAATCGAGTGTATGATCCCACTCGATACACTCAATTCGATCACTACCATGTATCAACTCTGAAAGTGGAAACCTGCTTAGGGAAGAGAGAGAGAGAGAGAGAGAGAGAGAGGAAAAGACAGGGAGATGGGCTATAGATCACCTGTTTTATCCAATGAAGTGACTCTCTTAACTCTGTTAATGTACTTTGCTCTGCATCTATTGTGGTACAACGCCTCCAGTGCTACAAGATCGCCAGCCCCCGCAATCTTGGCCAGCATTTGCGTGTCTGGGCAGAAGGACTCTTTACTTCTTCGGGTCTTTACGGGTGAGGTGGTTGAAATTGGATCCGTGATTGGCCGTTTCTAGGCCCGCTCTAGTTTGCTGGTGCTGAATTTCAGGTAGCACGATTTATGCCACTTTGCTTCCCGGGCAATCAAGGTTTCCTTTAGGCCGGCACCTTCATCCAGCGCTGAAACATCCACCCCTAACGGCACTTGCTCAAGCTTTTGAAACTCCTCTAAATTTTCAGCCAATTCAGAATATCCGACACTTTGGTCCGCTTCCAGGCTCCTTCCTGGATGCGTCAGGTCCTCACTCGTGTCTTCTTGACATAGCACACACGCATCCCAGTCGGTCTGCCTATCCCTCGGCAAGCTCTCGTTATGGACGCTAACATCACACAATTCAAAGCTCTTCATTTCGGAAGAAATCTGCAAAGTATGCACACGTCAAAACTACCTCGCCGTGGAACTGCGACAAACGCGGTTACAGAAGGTAAAATCGAATCAAACTCACCAAAACGTGGAACGCCTGCACAAATATAACACTAAGATGCACCTGTTTGTTTACGTCGAAGCGGGGAATACACTCGGCAAGCCACCGCCTGCTACAACAAGTCACAACAGCTCCGCCAAGAGACCATTGTTGCCGAGCGCGCGAAATCAAACGAATGCGCGGATCTCTTCCCCGCGTGAGCGCGCGGAAATTCAAAGCGAGATTTGATTTGTAACACACTTCCGTAGCCTCATTGCGGCATTTATCCAACTTTCAACCTCTATATATTTCCGTAATCAGACGCCTCGAAAACTTATGGAACGACACCCGTCACGATACTATGTTACCTCTTTTTTGTTTCTTTGAAAATGTTAAAAATTTTCGATTTCGGACGCCGCCATTTTGAAATGTGTGGCCGTGAGCCTTTTATAATCGTTTGTCAGCCTTGGGCACTCAAAACACTTCAAATGTATAAAAAAAGTAGACATCTACGACGTTTATAACGCGAGAAATGAGGAAAAGGACGTTTTGCCCCTGAAGGAAGGCAACCATGCCTAAATAAGGGGTCTGCAGGGGGTGGGACCGTGGCAACATTTCTCATATCGAAGAATAGGGTCTAAGGAACAATTTAAGCCATGTGTCACCTTTTGAACATGAAATGCAAGGTGGGGTCTATTCCTGCAGATTACCGTCCGGACTATGATGAGACTGGAGTGCGGAGCGTTTGCTGCTAGCATCTATCAAATAATAAATCCCATATCAAATCGTGCATCGATTCTCCTACCATTCTTGTATAATGTATCAACGCGCTGCTTTCATGTAAGCATGTAAGAAAATGGAGCAGCGCTGCTCAGCTCGCTGCTTGCAGCTTTCCTCTTTTTTCAAATTTCTCAAGTAGTCCTGAGGAATTGCCTTAAATTCTTCTCGTCGGGTGATTCGTAGCTCTTGTGGAGTCTCTGGCAAGGCCATATGGAGACGAATGTACTTCTGGAGTTGAAACGTCATGGATTATTGTTTTTAAAAATTAAAAATGTCCCTATACTTCCTCAGAACACTTGCATCTTCTCTTGAGAAGGAGGAATTGACGTGAATCAAAAACCGCGTTAGGGGTCTGGAATTGACCAAGTTCCTCAGTTCATGTTGTGTAACGAGATAATACTCCTGTCTCATAAAATTATGATACAATACGTATTTTGAGTTGTTTCTCTTTGACTTCATAAAACACTTTGTAGATTACAAGTTTAGGCAAGGAAATAATAAACCATACCTATATATACTTATATTTAGATAATGCAATTCGGGTTACTGCGAAATCATCATTATTTTCTGTTGTTTCTCAGTACACTAATTCAGTCCAACCTTGGTTCCGAACACTTGTGGATGACTTCGGAACGTTGGCAAAAAATATTAAAAAGATTGCGACTTTTTTTTTATGTTTCATCTTCAAAAAATACGACCTATTATCTTACTATCACGAGATACAATATCAATCAGGTACACTGGAACAAAAGGAAGATCAATTCAGGTATAAGTATATCTGTAGGTATTTAATAAAATTATCTCAACTAATGCATGAAAATAACTCAACCTTGCGCTCACCTATATATTTTCGTTCTCAAAATATTGTGGATATGTCATAATTTGGCGAAAATCGAATCATGAATATGAAGAGAGTAACAATAATTTACGATCAGCTGACCCCAGCAAGATATGGCCTAAGTATGACCACCCTGTATACTCCATCTAGTCGGTCTACCTCGAATCACGTTCATTTCCTGCTTTCTACAGCTTTGAAGATCATATACTAGATGGCGCCACATGTACCAAAGCTGAGGACTACGAACGTAGCTAAGTCTGAGGTAGAGTTAGTTTATTTATATATTTTCTTATTAATTTATTAATTACCTACTTAGGTAATGATTCACTTATAATTCGATTGATATTCACCTAATTTGAGTTGACTTCGATCATTATTGTTAGACAATATCATCGTATATGTCAATAATTTGCAATGATTTAAAAACAACGCTGATGAAAGCAGAAAGAATTAGGTTTCGAAAATTGGTCAAAACTATTTCTGTGTAGGATATGGAAAAGATGAAAAAAATACCCCCCCCCCCCTTACCTATATACTTCCGATAGAAGTTTTTATTTTTAAATCAATGTACCTATCTACTTACCTATACTTCTGATGTTGATGGTCAACACTATGCCTAAATAGTAGGTAGGTATATACATTCATACGGCTTACCCTGAAGGGATTAAAATGTCATTCATGTCCCCGATTTAGTTTTGAACAATGTTTACCTATATCAATCTCGTCATGAAATATTAAATAGTTCATTATTGCACCATAGTTTAACACTAAAGCTGCAATCTTAGTTTAGTACATATTTTGACTAGATTTCAGATGATTGTACTGTTTTTCTCATGATTTTGGCTGTTTTTTGTTCTCGATCGGTATATATAGGTGTCGTGGGATATAAAAATATATAGGCTAGTTAAACAATTTCCATTACATGTTGTTTCTGCAGGTCCTTATAGGAATAGGTATACCATGGGCGCCGCCAGGAAAAAATGCAGGGGTGCGGATAGGACGAAATAATGTTGAAAATATTCATGAACCATATGATTCACGACTTGAACCACAAATTATATTCAAACATGAAAATCGCAGTCTTCTTTTATCGTTTTTGCCAAAGATATTGATGATTATAATTTTCGGGTTTTCATTCTCTGCAGTTTATCTGTGAACACTCAAAAGGCCTTGATTTTCCAATCTCAGCCATTTTTGTCCTTCCCAGGTGGTACAGGTGGTGAGAGATATTGATAGAAAAATTTGAATAGCCTTGAGATATAGGCGGTAAAAATTCACATCCAAATCAGTGATCCCTCTTCAACATTTTCAATATTGTAGGTTCTAACGATATTTTTATGCGGGCCATGTCATTTTTCTCTTTTTGATTTTTGAGGTGCTAACAGGATATCGATAAAGCTGGTTGCTTCTATCTTAAAGAGAATCTGATTTACGGGGAAGGTTATCAGTGATCAATACATATATTGATCTGATGTCTTGCTATGAGAGTTGCTTATAATTTCTATTCCGAATTCATCAGTAGTTCCCATTGATTTTGTGGAAATACTCCCAAAATATTCATTTAAATATTTCTTATGTTTGAGAATATCTCCAACGAATTATATCTATGTGTTTTTGAACATATAACTTATTCACAGATTTCCACTGCAAGCTATTGGGCTGAGTATTTAGAAAAGATGTTCAGATGAACAATAAACTTTGAAGTTTGAGCACCTATAGGTATATATAGATGACGAACAAGAGAGTTGCTCAGCTTTGGTTCTTGTGGCTTGGTTGAAATTTCTATAGTAAAACAATAATCTTTCAACACAGATTCAATTTTAACGAATATTTCGAAAAATAAACGTATAGATTCACATTTCGTTTGGCGGTCTGTCCAGATGCAGAAAACGAACGGATAGATATGGGAAACTAAAGATCGGCAGCGTGGATAATCTTGAGAAACCTCATATTTCTTATAAACATCTATATTTTATTGGTACCGTTTATGATCTAAATCTTCAAAGTGCATTTCTAGAGGAGGGGGGGCATCCGCCCCCCCTGCCTTCCCCTTCCGGCGCCCATCATAGGTACTTTTCAACAGATCAAAAACTGATTTTTTAAGATTGAAAAAAATGTTCCATCATTTGCCAGACGATATCAAGAAGCTCATACTGTCTCAAAGAAATTTGGAAGTTCTGTAAGGACTATATTCTAATAAAGACAGCTTCAGATACTAAGTACTCTTTAGAACTCAAGGGCGTCATCTCAATTAATACCAGGGGAGGCTAAAGAAACGCAGGTGAAATTTTGCCTTGGTTCAAGGTCAAATGGCATCAGATTGAAAATTAGATTTCTTCCATTTCCCCCAATGAAGGGAGGGGGTCAAGAAACTCAGACAACAGTTTCGTATGGTAAAAAATGCGCCGCAAATGCATTTTTTTGTATCATCGAATGTAACCTTTATGTTATGACTTTTTTATTATCATTGTTATCTGTATTTCACCCCTATACCCTTTACCTTAGCTACTTACATGTTTTACAGTTTCATCAGTTGATTCTTATTTCTGACTATGATGACTGCTTATTTCTCGTTGAGAATTTCATTTCTCCAGGCGATAAGGTTTAAAGGTTAGTATTTGGTTCGATTTGAACTCACTTATTCACAGTTCTTTCAATAAATTTCCAGTATTACTGCAAAAATATCCAGGGGCAAATACCTATGAGTTTGACGAATATGCATTTGTAATATAAATATGTTTCATGATGTTATTAAGTATCTCGTTTTACTGAAAATATTTATGTCTAGTTTCAAATTCTCGAAAAATATATTGGCAGTTTGATCAGATGAGTATTTCAAAACTAAACATACCTAAACAAATGTTATTGTTGAAGTGAGTATAAGTGTTCGAAGAAAATTTTGTTATTTCTTAGGCATACCTATATATATTTCAGGAGATCAAGTTTTTCAAAAATTGATCTACAAGGATGAAATATATGACAAAAGCTATAGTTGTTTTATTATAATCACAATTTTTAAGTTCCAACTTTTATTTGTGGTCAAAACAAGAGCAAGATTTAACTTCATATGGAACACTTTTGAGTGTAAAGTAACTTGAACTAGGTTTTTGAAAATATGTACATTTTGTGATAATGATGAATTCGTTTAGGTATCCAGTGAAAACCTACGTATGTTATGTATATGTATCGACTTTATTTTGCTAACCACCTTTCAGTGATTCGATAGTAAAATACATAATAGGTAATAAAATAATTGGAATACCTATAGTTGAATTCCTAAAAGGGCAAATAAAATATTGATGTTAAAAAAAAACTATTTTGTTACAACTTTTTTGTAGCCAATTCCCTCCAACTTTGAGTCTTGCTATGATCATTTCATTGAGTGTGAAATTGGTAATCAGGTGGTTGAGAGAAAAAAAAAACAATATACGACAGCTATGAGTTTTAATGAGTCCAGGAGCAATACATGTTTATGTTCGACTGTACAGGAGTTTTTGAATATTCAATAACAAAATGAGATTCACAGGGGTGCTCGAAATGAAAATAAATAATATTTGATTATAGTTTTTATACATATCATAATTCAAACTTCAATATGCCCAACTGAAAAAAAATTCTGAAACCTGTACTCAATATACCTACAAATCTTTTTAGGTTGTTGAATATCATTTAGGACTGGCTTCGTATACATTCAAGATTTGAATTTCGATATTAATTCAATCATAACAGGTTGGTATATATACATCTATACATTTACAAGCAACGTAGCTTATTTACAAAGTTATTGCACATGAAATATACATTTTTGAATATTACTAATTTGTATCACCAATAGAATATAACCAATAACACAACTGTTATACCAACAATTTTCGTAATTATTACTGAATAAGCAACATGTATTTCGACAAGAAAAGAGATATGATGGAGTATTTTGATAGACACAGTTCTGTAAATTTTTCTATTTGAAACAGTTTTGATTACAAAAACTGAGCAATTGTATATTCACATTTATAGCTTTTATGCGAAATCACAACTCGAAGAGATCACTAAACTACTATATATTTACAAATATTTGAGTATTGTATCAAGACTGGCTGAATTATAATACAAAATTAAAAAATATATAATCCAAAATAGTGGTGCAAGAATCTCTGATAATAAATAAGAATACAGAAACTGGCTTTAGGAAAATTATAAGACTATTCTATAATCACATATATGAAAATCATTCGATAAGTACCAACCAAAAATCACCACCAGGATGGTATTACGCTAAAGTTTGTGTTCTTTATGGGTCACGAAGATATCTCCGACTCTTTAGAGGGATTTGCATGTGATGACTCATTCTCTGAATGAATATTTCTCCTTGTTCGCGACACGAACACTTTCGGGCATCCCATCACAGTGCATTTGAACATCTCTGAGATATGGTGGTTTTCACAATGTTCTTTCAGTTGCGAAGCACTACTGAATGCCATTTTGCACAGCCGGCAAGGGACGTTTCCGTCTTTGTCAGGCGTGGGAAGATCTTCCTCCACACAGTGGATATATTTTGTAGGAACAGGAGATATGTTAGAAGAAGGTGGAAGAGGTGGTAGAGGAGGAGGAGGGGGAGGAGGAGGAGACCCAGAAACTGGTGAACTCGAAGTTGAGGAATGATCTTTGTGGGTTGTTGAGATAGAAGACCCATTGAACTGGCTGAAATGATTAAAACTGCCCAAGGGGAAAGGAAGACCTCCCAGAGGAGGCAATAGGAGAGGAGGGTGAGGTATTCGATCACTATTCAACATTAATTGGTCCAAATTTGGTGGTGATAGATGATGACCTTTGAGAGCTTCTTCAGCATACAGTCGAGTCAAAAAATCACCATGGAGTGATGGGTTTGTCAAATGGGCAAACGGAGATTTTTCTAAGAATAAATTAGCGGCAGTCTTATCCGAAGAAGTTGATAACAGCTTCCTATGTAAATTTAAATTAGCACTATGTCTATCTCTACTCCTCTTCGAAGGAAAAGCTGCATTACAACCATCTACGTTACATTTGTGCATCAGTTTCAAATGCACATTCTGATAGTGCGTTTTTACACCAAAGTGGTTCTGAAAAGTTTTTCCACAGGCTGTGCATTTCCGAGGATTATCTTTATCGACAGGTACGTCCATGGTAGTGATAAACTGACCGTCGTCAAAATGTCCGTATAAATGGTGTTGACTATTTTCGTCTGGAGATTCCCTTCCATTGCTGCTGCCAACTGAAGAAGTTTGAGACCGAGCTGGGCTCGGTGGCCCACCACCCATCATAAACCCCAATGGAGGAAATTGAGGGGCTTGTCCGCCTAACCCAAGATGTAAACCTCTTGCCATAAGATCACCAAAGTGTCCGTGGGATAGGCTTTCTAGCTGTCTCAACGGATTGGTGGAATCGAAGGATTCGTCACTTTTATTACTTTCCACAGAACTAGCAGGTCTTTCTTCTGGTTCTTCATGACTTTCTGAGTCGAGAAAGGGTTTCTCTTTTTTCAATTTGTCTATAGTGAATAATGGAGCTATACTAGTCTTTATTGTCTGCCCGGTCGAATTTTTTTCTGGTTCATTGGCATTAACGTCTGGACTCCTTTTTCCTAAATCCAAGGGTAGATCAGATATATCTTCCTTTTTTGTTTCAACAGGAACTAGTTCCTGATTTTCTTCTGGTTCCATTTTCACTTGGTCTAGTAGCCTTTCGGAAAAAACATCATTAGAAGAATCACCATCACTAACGGTATCTTCCATTACTGGTATCACAGCAACTCTTGTGGGATTCTGATTCTTTCGCTTCCTTTTATTTATTATTACATTAGGTTCATCTTTGAGACTGTGTGTGTCGATAACACTGAGAGAATCATCATTACTATCTACATTACTGCCTATATCTTCATCAACATCAGATACTGACATTTTTTGTTTTTTGTTAGGCATACTGAAATCTTCTGGTTCATCAGGAAGAGAGTTGCCATTCGTTGTTTCCGGTTCCTTCATCTCGATTTGTTCATCTTCTTCTTCGTCTCCACCAACAACGACTATGCCATCATCGTCGTCATCATCTTCCTCCGACTGTTGTTGGTTAGCCAAGGCTGCTATCGAACTGAAGTCTTGAAATGGAACGTTGTTCTCTTTCATCCTCTGTAAGCTCAGGTCTAAGGTTTGTTTGAAGTCAATCGAAGCCAGCGAGTGATACTTCATATCAGGTGGAGGAGTGAGAAGTGGGAAAGGACCAAAGGGATTCAGAGGATTGAGAGCAGCAGATGCAGGTAAAGCTAACCCAGGCTGAGGCGGCATGAGAAGTGGATGGGATTGCGAACTTCTGCCATCATGCGGTGATATCTTTCTCCTGAGGTGGGGAGAGTGCAACTTGGGGTTCGGATTTGCACTGTGCCTGTTACGTGATCTCCTGGAGCTGAACATCATGTTGCATCCTTCGACCGTACATTTGTGCATCTCGCGTAAATGGACAGCGGAAAAGTGTATTTTTAGAGCACCTTTGTCACAGAATGTCTTCAAACACACATTACATTGAACTCGTTTCTTTCCCGTTGCAGGATTTATAAACTGCGTTCCGAGATTGAGGGGCAAACCAGGAGAGCCCCATTGTCTTTTGGTGGGAGTGGACGGTTTCCTACCATGCAAGACCCTGGATTGCCTAGGCGTTTTCATGGCGTCTCTGTCCCTACTCAAGTTGAGGGCACTATAAGAGTTATCATCTATGTCATCGTCATCTTCACTGTTGATATTCCCACACAAAATATCTGTACTTGAAGGGGATTTGCTGCCGGTGGACATCCTGGTTGACATAAGACTTGGAAAGGAGGAGGCCACTAAGCTGGCTGCAGCTAAGGAGTTCACTGACGCAGCTACCATAGCAGCGGCTGAATGACTCAGAGAGGAAGGTGGTGGTGGCGGAGGAGGCAAGCAAGACGGTAATGAGGTCCTACATAGATTCAGGCCGACAGATTCGTTTTCTGGCAGTCTCCTGTGGTCAGGACTGACCCTGGAGGAAAAGACAGGTAGGCCAGCTCCCAGTTTCCTGTAGTCAAATGGTTGCATGCTTTGGAGTCTATTCAGTGGAGAAGTGTTCAATGGACTAGTATTGATGGTCCTCGGAGGAGAGTTCGAGGAAATGGGACCATTAGCAGGCATTTTCATGAAGTTGAGCGGATGTTTCTGATGCGGGGGCATCGTGGGCAAGCGCGCTGGGTGGAAAGCAGAAGGTTGAAGACTCTGTGGTGATGGGCGATGATTGGGAGACATCGCCCTACGAGGGTGAGCCGAAGTGTGACGCTCTAGACGCTCCAGGGTGGGGTCCTGAAGTGCCTGTTGCGCCAGAAGCAGTTGCTGCGTTATGGTTGCGGTGTCACCGAACCTGAAGAACTGTTGAAGGACCAGAGGCTCCTTCTCAGGACAAGTGAAGTTCCATCGGTCCAGAGTGGTGCCGTATGTGTCCTGAAACAAAACATCGATCAGCGTCGTGTTGATTGGAGATGAATGGTGTTTTCGGTAGATCCTGGCGCGAGGTTTATATAATAAAGAAATCAACGGGTTCTCAATAACGGAGCAGTTTTCGCGTCCATGAAAACAAATAAGTGAAATGTACGGAGACCGACGTCGAATGTTTATTGAGGACGGTGTATAAAAATATACGCGTTTCGATAGCGCTCGTTGTTTAGATATGAAGCCTGCAGAATGTCTCCCGCTCGTTTATAAATAAACGGGGTGCTAGTCACCTGCCCCTCTCAAGTTCAATCTATTGCAAACAAACACGCGTTTCTATTACAAGAGGACGTTACCAGGATAGCCTCTCGAACGATAATCAAACTACTATTTATATATGACATTCATTAAAGTCTTTCCTGCCTGGTAGCTGTCTGTCGATATGACTCCGTTACGCTGGTGGGTTGATAACTATTTACTTTGATGGATATTTACCAAAGTAATGATGGTGACATCTTGTTGACCTAATGAAATTAATATTCATGAGTACAACATATATAACACTATATATATCGACATATAACCACTATCATTCACTACTGTCTATGCCAGAAGACGTATATTTAATGAAATTAAAAGTAAATATTACTGTTCATGTTGAGATAAGGTAATGCAAGGATGGATAACACGGGACATTTTGATCAGAGATCTTGACTATCATTCCACCACCAGTCAGACGAACACAACAAGCTCAGTCAATACATTACCCTGTCATCAACCTCAAGATATGTTGAATAACTCTCTACCAGAACTCTGTGGTCTATAGAACGGCAAATATTTGAAATTCTTTTTCTAAGAACTTATGATGAGAACTTATGACCTCCAAAATATTTTACTAAATAGCAATATCTGTACAAAATCAGTATATATTATTTCATCGTTATTCAGGCATCTATATTTATTTATTTATTTATTTATTTATTTATTCATTTATTTATTTATTTATTTATTTATTCATCTATTCATTTATTTATTTATTTATTTATTTATTTATTTATTTATTTATTCATTTATTTATTTATTTATTTATTTATTTATTCATTTATTCATTTATTCATTTATTCATTTATTCATTTATTCATTTATTCATTTATTAATTTATTTATTTATTTATTTATTTATTTATTTATTTATTTATTTATTTATTAATTTATTTATTTATTCATTTATTCATTTATTCATTTATTGATTTATCGATTTATCGATTTATTGATTTATTTATTTATTTATTTATTTATTTATTTATTTATTTATTTATTTATTTATTTATTCATTTATTTATTTATTCATTTATTTATTTATTTATTTATTTATTTATTTATTTATTTATTTATTTATTTATCAATTTAACAATTTGGCGAGCCAACAAACAATAAACCAGTTGTACTATAAAAGTAATAGCAAGAGAGCAATGCTAAAAAAATGCCGTAATAGTAGTAGATTTTCATGTGATGCAATAGATAAGTATTTCAATTTTAAACAATTTACATTCTATTATTTGAAAATATTTAATTCACTGTCACTGTTGCTGACCCAGTATAGAGTAGGTATGATATAACTTTCAAGCTACGCAAGGTGATATTGAATATATCAATCTGACTGAAAAAAGAGATATAATTATTTCTCTGTAGTTTGCTGATGGGTGAATTATTTCCATAGTTAGTAGTGAAATAGGGTGCATAAAACAAGTACCATAGGAGCGAGAACAAACTGATTTTACTCGTATATCTATTTTTTCCAATATTTCGGTACCATATCAATTATATTGTTGAATAACTTGTACAGAAATATGATACCTGCAACCAGTCTCCTAGAGGTTAATTTGCAAATTTTGTAGTGATTCAGTCTACGTTCGTAAAGCAAAAATTAAAGATCTCTGTCATATCTGTAGTTGAGAACATTTAAACATTTTTTTTTGTCTCTTTCGATTCTATCTATATATTTGTAATGTAATAACAAAGATCCATATTCTAGGTGACTCCTCACAAATGAATTGTACAGTATTATTAATAAATGCGGATTTTGAAATTTTTTCGTTACACGAGATAAGAAACCAAGATCCTTTAGTGAGTTTCGAAATATGGAATCTATATGGTGTTTAAATGTTAACTTCTCATCCAATACTATTCCGAGATCTTTAATTTTCCGACTCTTGATAAATTATTATTATTAATATTATATGTGTGATGTATGGATATATTTGCGATATAGACTTAGACATTTGACATGACAGTCAAAGTCAAATCAACATTTATAATTATGCTTCTCTGTATTTCTTTCCTTTTGATGGCTTGCCTTGAATGGAGATGAAGCTCTTTGAGTAGATTTTTATTAATTCTAGTTTAATTCAATTACCGATATTGAACTTACGCCTAGTCAAGTTCTTTCGGCTTTTCAGTCGTTTCAAAGTCATTTAGCCTCAGTCTTAGTTTGAAGATCTTTGTAAATTCCTGGTACTTCTTCATTACTATTGAGTCTGACGATGGCCATGGTGCCAAAACTAGTCACACACATGACTGTTTTATATCAAATTGCATTCGTTTCTTGTTTTCACATATACCTAACAACTTTTATACAGGCTACTCTTTTGTCAAACGCAGAATTTCTTGAAACCAGAAAATATCTGATTGTCTTGAAATTCCGTTTGTTTTCGACAATGCCTGGCTGTGTAGAATGCAAATGTTGTTTCTTCTTAAGCCAAGTTCTATACATTTATACGGTTACTGATTTTGTGAAATACATTTCTGAAATTATGATTTTACTCCATTCTCTAGGTTTTCGGGGGTCAACATTCAAGCACAGTCACATCCTGGAAAAAAACAGTACCTATTTGATGATTTCACTATTATATGTATCTGTTTTCATCAATATTAAACATGTTTCAATTTTTGTTATGTTATAATAGTATGACCAAGTTTTGATAATAAAGACTTTTGTTCACCAAAAGGAAGAGTTTATTTTATTCCGTTTATGGTAAGACCATATTATGTATTTTGATTTCCTTCAAAATGATATGCTCTTGGCTCAAGAAAACAAGGAACCTCTGATGAATATCCACTCATTATAATGAGACATAATCTCTTTATAACAAGCTAGAAATTTTTTGATTCAAGAACAACATTGTTCAACTATGACGGGAGATTTACTTTTCAATAGAAAAATTTTCTTTTTTCGAACTGATTAATTCTTTCTTTCCGACGGAATCCCACCGATTGTTCTCAAGAAATGCGCTCCCGAACTGACTCCTGTTCTCTGCAAGTTGTTCAACTACTCTTACCAATTTGGGATATTCCCGTCCAACTGAAAAATTGCAAGAGTACAACCAGTTCCCAAAAAAGGCAAGAGGACCCTACCTAACAACTACAGACCGATCGCACTGCTATCTATAATTTCAAAGATCATGGGGAGAGCTATCAACATCGAGCTCATGAAATACCTGGAACATTCAGGTATTATCAACGATAGGCAGTATGGCTTCCGTCCTAAGAGATCAACTGATGTTGACCTGCTCGCTTGCGTCTCACATATATGGGAACAATCTATTGAAAAATATGGTGAAACCTTAGCCGTGGCACTTGATATCTCCAAGATATTCGATCAAGTCTGGCACCACGGACTCCTCGCCAAGCTTCCATCTTATGGCTTGCATCCCCAGCTATGTTCTCTGCTAGCTAGTTTTCTCTCAAACAGGTCTCTCCATGTAGTGGTCGACAGAGTTTCATCTGACTCTCTTATCATGAATGCTGGTGTTCCGCAAGGATCAATTCTAGCACCAACACCATTTCTACTCCATATCAGCGATTTGTTGGAAGCAACTTCATGTTCAGTACACAGCTTCGCGGATGATAGTACCCTCCATACCGCCTTCTCTTCCAGGGCTCCAATACCAGCCAGGCAAATCAGAAACGAACGAGGAAGAAATGTTGACAACATGAATATGGACTTGGCAACAATCCTCCAATAACTTGGTAGATTTCAATGCAAACAAAACACAAGCATGTCTTTTCTCTAGAAAAGCCGATCTCACTGTGCCCAATATAAGCTTATCAGGAGTAACCATACCTTTGAAGACATCCATTTCGATGCTTGGTATTACTATCAGCAATAAACTTTCTTGGAAAAATCACGTGAGATCAATTGCTAAAAGTGCATCCCAAAAACTTGGTTTTTTGATTCGGGCCAGGAGCTATTTCACTTCCAGTCAGCTGCTTATGATCTATAAGGCACAGATCCGACCTGTCCTGGAATACTGCATATTTGAAGTGCAGCACCCAAACATACCCTGAAACTGTCGGAATCTGTCCAAAAAAGGGCAATTCGTCTCGTGGGTGATGCCTCGCTCACAAACTCACTCACTTCTCGGAACACCGTAGAGAAAAGTTGGCGATCTCGCTCTATTTTATAGATTTTTTCATGGATGATGTTCTTCTGAAATATCAACAATTGTTCCTCCATTGGCAGTTCCCGCGAGATTAACCTGTCGAGTTGAGGTTTCGCACCACCACGATGTTCTCTGAACATGACAGGATATCATGCCAAGAAGACGAAGAAAATTCATTTCACATCCTCGGAGAGTATGAGGCCTTTGGAAGGATGAGATCCGAAGTCTCTGGGGTGGATAAACTATACAACTAGATAGCTTAATTGAATTATAGTGGATAAACACCTTGGCCTTCTTCAGAAGGTCAGGAAGGTACTGCAGAATAGAAAACTAGGCGAAGGGTGTGCAGATATGTAGGGAGCAGGGATTGGCAAAAATAGCTCATGAGACTTGCCTTGCAGTATAGCCTTCCCACAATACTGCAACTATACTAGGTACTACGATTATAATTTCAGCATAATAATTCTTCAAAATGTACCTACTCGATATCATTGTGCATGAATGTGTCTTGATATAATCAACACCTGCACATTGTTTCCCTTTTGAACATGCTGCATATTTATTTCTTCAG